AAAAAAAGGCTAAGAAAATGAAAAAAAGATCCAGATCATCTTAAGCTGGATTTCGAGCCAATGAATTCATAAGAAAGTGATGATGAAGTTTATGCAGATTCCGCTAAAAAAGATCCTGATTTTAGACTAACGCCTATGTATAAGCGAGTCCGGTTAGTGAAGGTGAGTGAAATCATATTAATCAGTGAAAATTTTTACTTTTATACTGGATATGCAATTGCTAAGGACTTAATGTGCTCCTCAGAGAATTCTCGAGTAGTCACTATTTCTGAGTCACTGCACTAAGACGCATCTGCTTGCTCCAAAACCCGAGACTCATCCGCCTGCTGAAAATCCACTGGAAACTCAACTGTAACTTCAGATGGATTTTCTTCCGCATACCAAATCATCTCCTCGTCAAACGCATTATCAAAAATTGTTGGCTCAGCTCGCAAGCTCCGTCCATATTTTTTTTATTAGTAATACTCGCCAACTGTAGTTTCTTCTTATAATCCCGCATTTCATAATTTTGTGGAATAACTTCCTCAACAAAAACTTTGCTTGGAGGAACATCCAAACGACCGTCCACCGTTACGGTCAGCGAATTTAAATGCTCAGTATCTTCTAAAATTCAATATTTCTGTGATTAAATATACATGTTAACTCTATCGCTGCATTGTCTTGCATTGCAGACCAGTGGTTCCGAAACTTATTTCGTCTACCGCCCAGAAAAAATATTCCACAGGGCCCCCCTATTTTTTTTTCATTTCAATAGCAATTAATAAGGTATATACCCATGTAGAAATTAATATGGTCTGAATCTACAAGCAATATAAAATCTACATTGGTCAAATTTGAAACCATATCGGCTGGTCATAAAAATTGAACATTTTTAATATGAGGCCATATAGGTAAACCAACATTGGTCTATATTGGTCTATATTTGGAAATTTGGAACCAATGTTGCCTACAAATTGTTGAATGTTGGTAAGGTAATATACAATTAGACAGAGAGCTGGTGAACATTTTGAATTATTAATTATTGAATTATTAAATTATTCTGAAACTTATAACTGATGTTGAAATATTACACAATATTTGAAGATTTGAAGTTGAAATAATATAACGCATAAATCAATGTCATTTATTTAACAATAAAACACCTGAAATTTATTTATTTATTTATTTATTTTTATTTCTGAAATGAACATATACGTAAATTTATTAAGAATGTTTTTGTGGAAATTCATTTATTAAATATAAACAATGATACAAATATATAACTGCATTAAAAATATGATTATTTATAAAACACAAAAGTGTCATAAATATTGATTATTTTTTTAATAGATATTTATTAATACATATCAAGTAAACTTTTTTTATAACAATAACAAAAGCAAATAAACTTAAACAGCATCTGAACATATTTTATTTGTTGTTAATATATTTATTATCCATTATGAAACATTTATTTCATCGTCTAGAACAGTCATTGGAAAACCTACCTTACATTTGATATATATCAAGTAAATTATAATCGAATAATTATTCGATTATAATTTACGTGATATATATCAAATGTAAGGTAGGTAAAGTAATAAAAGTAATAAATGCAAATTAACTTAACTATTTATAACATCATCACTCGATAAAACATTTCACAGCATCTGAACATATTTTATTTGTTGTTAATATATTTATTATCCATTATGAAATATTTATTTCATCGTCTAGAACAGTCATTGGAAAACCTACCTTACATTTGATATATATCAAGTAAATTATAATCGAATAATTATTCTATTATAATTTACGTGATATATATCAAATGTAAGGTAGGTAAAGTAATAAAAGTAATAAATGCAAATTAACTTAACTATTTATAACATCATCACTCGATAAAACATTTCACAGCATCTGAACATATTTTATTTGTTGTTAATATATTTATTATCCATTATGAAATATTTATTTCATCGTCTAGAACAGTCATTGGAAAACCTACCTTACATTTGATATATATCAAGTAAATTATAATCGAATAATTATTCGATTATAATTTACGTGATATATATCAAATGTAAGGTAGGTAAAGTAATAAAAGTAATAAATGCAAATTAACTTAACTATTTATAACATCATCACTCGATAAAACATTTCACAGCATCTGAACATATTTTATTTGTTGTTAATATATTTATTATCCATTATGAAACATTTATTTCATCGTCTAGAACAGTCATTGGAAAACCTACCTTACATTTGATATATATCACGTAAATTATAATCGAATAATTATTCGATTATAATTTACTTGATATATATCAAATGTAAGGTAGGTTTTCCAATGACTGTTCTAGACGATGAAATAAATGTTTCATAATGGATAATAAATATATTAACAACAAATAAAATATGTTCAGATGCTGTGAAATGTTTTATCGAGTGATGATGTTATAAATAGTTAAGTTAATTTGCATTTATTACTTTTATTACTTTACCTACCTTACATTTGATATATATCACGTAAATTATAATCGAATAATTATTCGATTATAATTTACTTGATATATATCAAATGTAAGGTAGGTTTTCCAATGACTGTTCTAGACGATGAAATAAATATTTCATAATGGATAATAAATATATTAACAACAAATAAAATATGTTCAGATGCTGTGAAATGTTTTATCGAGTGATGATGTTATAAATAGTTAAGTTAATTTGCATTTATTACTTTTATTACTTTACCTACCTTACATTTGATATATATCACGTAAATTATAATAGAATAATTATTCGATTATAATTTACTTGATATATATCAAATGTAAGGTAGGTTTTCCAATGACTGTTCTAGACGATGAAATAAATATTTCATAATGGATAATAAATATATTAACAACAAATAAAATATGTTCAGATGCTGTGAAATGTTTTATCGAGTGATGATGTTATAAATAGTTAAGTTAATTTGCATTTATTACTTTTATTACTTTACCTACCTTACATTTGATATATATCACGTAAATTATAATCGAATAATTATTCGATTATAATTTACTTGATATATATCAAATGTAAGGTAGGTTTTCCAATGACTGTTCTAGACGATGAAATAAATGTTTCATAATGGATAATAAATATATTAACAACAAATAAAATATGTTCAGATGCTGTTTAAGTTTATTTGCTTTTGTTATTGTTATAAAAAAAGTTTACTTGATATGTATTAATAAATATCTATTAAAAAAATAATCAATATTTATGACACTTTTGTGTTTTATAAATAATCATATTTTTAATGCAGTTATATATTTGTATCATTGTTTATATTTAATAAATGAATTTCCACAAAAACATTCTTAATAAATTTACGTATATGTTCATTTCAGAAATAAATAAATAAATAAATAAATAAATTTCAGGTGTTTTATTGTTAAATAAATGACATTGATTTATGCGTTATATTATTTCAACTTCAAATCTTCAAATATTTGTGTAATATTTCAACATCAGTTATAAGTTTCAGAATAATTTAATAATTCAATAATTAATAATTCAAAATGTTCACCAGCTCTCTGTCTAATTGTATATTACCTTACCAACATTCAACAATTTGTAGGCAACATTGGTTCCAAATTTCCAAATATAGACCAATATAGACCAATGTTGGTTTACCTATATGGCCTCAATATTAAAAATGTTCAATTTTTATGACCAGCCGATATTGGTTTCAAATTTGACCAATGTAGATTTTATATTGCTTGTAGATTCAGACCATATTAATTTCTACATGGGTATATACCTTATTAATTGCTATTGAAATGAAAAAAAAATAGGGGGGCCCTGTGGAATATTTTTTCTGGGCGGTAGACGAAATAAGTTTCGGAACCACTGGTCTGCAATGCAAGACAATGCAGCGATAGAGTTAACATGTATATTTAATCACAGAAATATTGAATTTTAGAAGATACTGAGCATTTAAATTCGCTGACCGTAACGGTGGACGGTCGTTTGGATGTTCCTCCAAGCAAAGTTTTTGTTGAGGAAGTTATTCCACAAAATTATGAAATGCGGGATTATAAGAAGAAACTACAGTTGGCGAGTATTACTAATAAAAAAAATATGGACGGAGCTTGCGAGCTGAGACAACAATTTTTATAATGCGTTTGACGAGGAGATGATTTGGTATGCGGAAGAAAATCCATCTGAAGTTACAGTTGAGTTTCCAGTGGATTTTCAGCAGGCGGGATGAGTCTCGGGTTTGGAGCAAGCAGATGCGTCTTAGTGCAGTGACTCAGAAATAGTGACTACTCGAGAATTCTCTGAGGAGCACATTAAGTCCTTAGCAATTGCATATCCAGTATAAAAGTAAAAATGTTTCACTGATTAATATGATTTCACTCACCTTCACTAACCGGACTCGCTTATACATAGGCGTTAGTCTAAAATCAGGATCTTTTTTAGCGGAATCTGCATAAACTTCATCATCACTTCTTATGAATTCATTGGCTCGAAATCCAGCTTAAGATGATCTGGATCTTTTTTTTCATTTTCTTAGCCTTTTTCAGGTGTTCTACAATTCTTAATATCATTTCTGTTTCCATATGTCATTAATTCAGCCAATTCATGTCTATGTGCTCACGTAGCTTATCCATTTCCTGTTGACATTGAGCAACTTTCGCCACTGCTTCTGTTAGCTGATTCTCCAGTTCAGTACCGCGCTCTAAGCAGATACAATGAAAATTATTTTAACTTTCCCATACTAACATTGTATCTTTTCACATATTTACATATTTTGTTGCTATAAAAATATCAGATTAATATATTTGATTGTAATAATACCTTTATGGGCATCAACTGAACGCCTTGGGTCAGCAATCATATCAAATAAGTCTTTTGGAGCATATTTAGGTTCAGGTATTGGCATATTCACTTTTTGTGCAACTTGTGCCACTAATGTTCGCTTCCAAGCCAATTCCTATTTAATTGTTGGAGCCCTGTTGTTAGATAAATCAGCCTGTCTGCTGAGATAAATGGTTATCTTGTTGATCTTGATTTTCTGTCAAAATTTTTAGAAATTTATAAAAATTATATATTTATATTTCAAATTTACTTTTCAAAATTTCCTATAACCTAAGTTGGATATATATGCAATATCTCAGAAACGGTGATACTAACAAAAAAATTAATAATAACAATTTCATAGAGAATTTTATAATAAATAAACTTATCTAACATAATTTTTTAAAAAAAATTATGGTTTCGGCGGAAAATGGGAAAAACTAGATTTTTGCACCTTTGACCTTGAATAAAAAAAATCGCAGATGTCGGATCGTTGGGGACTTTTGACATTTCATTTGTAATGGCCTATTTAACATCTGTACCAAATTTCAGCTCTATGCGAATTGTTCCTAACTGAAAACTTAATTTGACTGGGCTATAATCAATGCTAGTCCTTGAAGTTATGAAATCAGTTCAATCGTTTTTGTGAAAACGTCAACAGAAGATCCAAAAAAACGCTAACATTACACACGCATAATTTCGCACAAATGCTATGTAATGTATGTATGGTTTCGAAGCGACAACCATGGTGAACTAAAATAATTTTCAATTCAAAAACCATTATTTTCATTCATCATTACTAGATCCAGTTTTAATAACAAAAAAATAATACGTAAAGCTTTTTCTTTTACTGACTATTACTTACTTATCGCTGATTTTTCGCTGTTGTATATGGATAGTGAATATTGCATGACTTCTACTGGATGACTGTTCATTGCAGTTGCACCTACAGCTCTGCGACGATATCCTCTAACTAAACAATCTAATGTATCTTTTGCATTACGTACTTCAATTTCGGGTAATCCAGGAATTACAATTCTTTTTTGTTGATCTTCTCTGATATCAACTATACTTTGATCTCTATTTGATTTTGATAAAAGATCAAATAATTGTTCTTGATATAATTCCATAAATGATACCTGTAGAACATGAGAAAATAGTTTACTGAAGAAATGACTTACTGTTATTATTATGTTTACAATTTCATAAACTATTATGATTTCTAAAAGCAAATTATATTAAATAGCAATCCATATACTCCTAAGGAGTGCAGAACAATTATATTCAACCAAACATATAGAAGTACAAACACAATGCAAAGATTTTGAAAATCTGACATGTTTAATTTCTGACCATTTATGGGTATTCAAATAAACTCTAATTACAGTGTAAAAAGGTTATGGCTTTTAATTTTAATTCTTATTTAAACCTCATATGCTCCTTAACAATACACTTTAAATTTATTGCTTTAATATTTGGAAAGTAGTTTATATTGATCTAACTTGTAATTGAAAATTATATTGCTCCGTCAGAGTTGAAATTTTTTGAAAAATGTTTTTACTGCTCTTGGTATAACACCCATCTCCTCGACTGGTCCAACTGAATAAGCCATGCCCATGGAATGAGTTTTTCCGGAGCCAGTCTGACCATAAGCTAATATTGTCACATTGTAGCCTAAAATATATTTTAGATTGAACAAAATAATAAATAATAAAGTAAAGATACTGAAGATAAAAATAGAATTTGGGATTATAGATGAGAGATAAATTCACCTACACCAAAGTTATGTTATGTCAAAATTAAATTCTAGTAGAAATAAATTACCCTTAAACAATCCATCAACTAAACCCTTAACAGCAGTGTCATAAAATTCAGCTTGCGAAACTTCTGGTGGAAATACATGGTTGTAAGTAAAAGAAAGATTTTTTATTAAAACTTGAGGTTTATTTGGCACTGTTTCGAGGCATTTAACATATCCTTTAGAAATTTCGGATTTGACTAAAGGCCTTATCCTTAAAGCCACCTGTACACTAACAGCAGAATCAGCCATCTGAAATTTTTTCAAAAATCGTTTGAGCAGGTGTAGATCTTATATGAGATATTCTATTTTTATTTTTATGAAGAAAATAATATAGTAATAATATACTTCATCAATCCTACTTTAAAAAACGATAATAATTTTAGTAAAGTTTGACGAATTTTTAAAATTAAACTACTTGTCGTAATGCTGTAATATTACAGTAAGTTCTATAAGACCATGATTAAGACCAAAAAAAAGTTCCATGAAAATCGGCTTAATTTTTTTCAACAGTTCATTAGGTTCAGTAGATTTTCACCTAAAATTAATCAGTACCATTCCCAACTAATATCTTTCGAACAGTTTTTGATTTTTCAAAATCGGTTCGGTAGGATGAGCTTAAATGTGGACGAAAATTTAACACTTTTTTTCAACAGTTAATTACAAGAAAACGGCTCGGTAGATTTTCACCTTAAATTAATCAGTACCATTCACAACTAATATTTTTCGAACAGTTTTTGATTTTTTAAAATCGGTTCGGTAGGATGAGCTTAAATGTGGACGAAAATTTAACACTTTTTTTCAACAGTTAATTACAAGAAACGGCTCGGTAGATTTTCACCTAAAATAATCAGTACCATTCCCAACTAATATTCTTCGAACAGTTTTGATTTTTTAAAATCGGTTCGGTAGGATGAGCTTAAATATGGACGAAAAGTTTAACACTTTTTTTTAAATTGCAAAGAAACGGCTTGGCAGATCGTCGCACAAAACTGACAAACGATAGTCCTCACCGAAATACATTTAAATTTCTGAAATCGGTTCAGGCGCTTTTGAGAGAAAACGTCGATCAAAAGCCTAATTTTGACAAATGTCAAAAAAAAAACTATACCAATTTTTGCAAACTTTGACGAATTTTTAAAGCTAAACGAGTTGTCGTAGGGCCGTAATATTTAGTATGACCTAGAAAACTATGGTATCTACCGTCAAAAAAAAAAATCATAAAAATCGTCGATTTTTTTTTTTAAACGTTATCAAAAGAAAACGGCTCGGCCGATCTTTACCAAAAAATAATCAGCACGATTCCCAACCAATATCTATCGAATGGTTTTTGAATTTTCAGAATCGATTTAGAATTGCGGGCTAAAGCGTGGGCGAAAAATTTTTCACTTTCTGCAATTTACAACGAAACGGCCCGGCCGATCACCGCACAAAACTCAGAGACGATAGTCCTCATCGAGGTACATCGAATGGCTTTTAAATTTTTAAAATCGGTCCAGTCATTTTTGAGAAAACATCGATTTACGGCAAAAAAATCTGTTCACAACACACACCACACACACATACACACACACACACATACTTTTTCCAAATTTGGTCTCATTCGATTCAGAATGGCTTGAAACGTCGAGAAAACATAAAATTAGCGAATCGGATTTTTTGATGAAAACATAAACTTCTCCTCGGGAAGTTAATAATATATTTTAATGAATATGCTTGCTATTTGTTATAAGAAGATTAGCTTACCTTAACCATAGCACTAAATTATATTATATATATATATATATATATATATATTATATATTTTGTAGAGTTTCGAACAAGAATCCAAAATAATACAAAATAAAAACAAGAAAAGTTTTTAAAAAAACAATTTCTTTATTTAATTATTTGTTTATTGTCGACGTTTCGGAACTAGGTACGTTCCATCTTCAGGACATCTGTCAAGAAACATGATCTTGATGAGATTTTAGCAAACAATATGTTTAGGAAAAGAAAATAGATTTTTCTTAAATAATGAATTAAATTGTAAAAAATATAATAATGTACAGAATATGATAATATGTTCAAAATAAAAATGATAAAAATAAATGAGTGGATTATCAGAACAGGATATTAAACATAATAGAAAATTTTTTGAAAGTTATGGAAATTTTTTAAGAAAAGGTTAATGACAAAGTTGAATTAATTACCTGTATGTTTGAATATTTGTTAGCACTTTTTCACTAAACAAGCTTTTTTAACAAAAATGATTTTGTGAGTTAATTTTCCGCCGAATAATTAGATTTTGTAAATCAAAATTACTAAAAAATTTGTCTTTTTTAAAATTATTATTTGAAAACACAAATAATATTGTTCTCTGGACGTTGTTCGATTGGCTTTCGAAAATTAACTAAATGAAACTGGTGTGCCCTTTGTAACACGTGTAAACACTTGAACGAGAGATGTGAGATTCGTTCAAGTGTTTACACGTGTTACTAAAGGGTTATCTATCATGAGTGCGTCGTTAGCTTCTTGGTCGGTTTGGTTACCAGCAGTAGAAAAAACAGTTTTTAAATAGTTCGCGAATAATGCCGCTTTCTCTTTGTTGCTTTTTGCCCATTCGCTTGCGCTGTCCATTCTTATAGGTGCATTATGGAATGTTTGATGTCTAGTGGACTTAGTGGGTTTCCATATTGTTTGTCGTATCTGCTTAAGTTTGAAATATATTGCGTAATCTCACTGTTCCTTAGATCTTTTAGTTTCTTTTTGAGGGAATTGTCAGGTTGTTGAAGATTGTTTTATCCTTAGGATTTTGCGTGTTTTGCCATTTTTTCTTGCTTTACGTTTTAGTTTTATTAGGCGTTTTATTTCTAGGGGGATATCATAGTTAGTTTTATTTTGTTCGTGTTTTTGTGGGGTAGCTTTGTAACTGCATCTTGCAATGTAGTTATGAACGCATTTAGGCTATGTCAATATCCTCTGCAGTTTTTAGTCGTATTTTGAGGTTTATGTTTAAATCAATTTCAGTTTTAAATGTATCCCAATCCGTCTTACAGTTATATAGGTTGTTTTTTTTGCTTATTTAATATACGCGAACTCAATGTTAATATTATTGGTGTATGATCCGAGGAGAGGTCTAAGTTATTTTCAATCGTCATATATTTAGGCGAAAATACCACTCGTTATGAAAAAGTCTAGCAGGTCAGGTGTTTTTTGTTTGTCTGTAGGCCAGTATGTAGGACTTCCTGTTGACATAAAAGAGTAATGTTTTCCTGGATTAGTGCTGCTAATTCTTTACCTTTTCTTGTGGTTAATCTTGATCCCCAGAGCGTGTTTTTAGAATTGAAGTCTCCACCCACGATGAATTTTGTACCTAAGGTTTTGAAAAATTTTTCATAATCTTCACATTTAAGATTATACCTAGGGGGACAATAATTGCAGAAACTGTTAAATCAGTTGCATGTGTGAAACCCTTAACTTTTATGGTGGTTGCTGTATTTCGTTATGTTGAAATTTTAGTAATTCGTAGTGCTCGATCGAAGATTTTATCAGTATACCTGTACCAGCGTGAGCAGTTTGGTCAGGATGATTGGTGAAATAAAAGTTATAAGACGGAATTCTGAAGAATAAAGTATCAGTCAGGTGAGTTTCACTTATTAACAGAATATCGATCATTTGTAGATGTAGGAAAGTTTTTTAATTCATTTTGATGGTTTAGAATAGGGGTCGGCAACCTTTTAACTGTGGTGTGCCAAGCCACTGTACCAATATGATTCAGAGTGCCGCCTTAATTCTGAACAAGGACGTAGCGTGCATTGGCGGGCCCCGTATCAAATTTTTTTTGGGGATAAAGTTTCTGCTTCTATGAACAATAATGATCTGAGTGCTGTTTGTGTATCATAGAAGTATTTAACTTCCTGAAAGAAATGTTTAAATTTTTTTGCCAGAAAATGTTTGTTTACAACGATAGGCTGAGCCGATTTCTCGAAATTAGGAGAAGAGTGCTAAAATTTTCGCCCTCGTTTCAAAATCAAGAACTGTTCGGATTATATCCCCCGGACCTCTTTTTCTTTTAAAAAATCAAAAAATTTGGAATAATCTAAATTCTTATTGATTGTGTCGATTATTTACACATATCGGGAAGTACAAGCAAAGTTTCCTAAGACTTACAACTAATTAGCTAATTTGTATCAGTTTTATTTTTGAAAAACTTTTTTCAGCATTTGCGGTTGAAACTGGGTAAATTGTATGCAAAAAATTACTTCGGGAAAATTTTAAGCAAAAAGTATTGAATTTTGACAGCGATATAATAATATTGAATTTCATATTTTTAGACATATTTTTCGAGTGTTTACAATTGGTTATAAAAATAACAGAGATGATCTTACTGTATTTAGACGAAAGTTTCATGAAGACAGGTGTTTTTGCTAAATTACTCAAGTTGTAATTATTCGAACATACTAATTGAGTCGAAGTCTCTGATCTTTGTTTAATTTCAGAAATTAATATGTATATTTAGCAATAGTATATGTTGAGTTTGAAACAAGATTACGGGTTGCTATACTTGCCTTTTGTTTTTGAAAACAGTCGTTACGCTCCATTCCTTTGATAATTTTCGAGACATTTAGCAAACTGCTGAATTAATTTTAATTTTTTAATTGTACACAAAATGACTTAATAAAATGCTAGTTTTCTATTCTATCGCAATCGCAACTCTCTTTATATTTTTACATTTTACACGCTCATGTTTTATTCGAAATTAAATTTAGTTGCAAGGAAGTTTTCATGATTATTTTAACTTTTATTATTTGTAAAATAAGATAAAAATTCGTAAGATTCTATTTATATTTGGGCAGGTTGGGCCCCATGGCCCGGAAAAATACACTTTAAAACAATAATTTTACATTTCTCTTAATGAAATTAAATTTCACTGAACAAATTTTTCACGATTAATTCGCTTTTTGTGAAATATTTTTTTTATTATTAATATTTGCTTACGGACGTTGGGGGCCCCCCTGGCTTGGGGCTGATAT